GCACGAAGACCACGTTCGACAGCCAGGTGACGTAGGATGTTTCTTCAACCAAGTTGGCGCCCATGAGCTTATCTACTTCGATTCGGAGTGCCGCCTCCTTTTCCGCCGACAAATTTCTTCGCTTCTGCTGCACAGGGCGCTTTCCCTCTTCCACCGCCAGTCGATGCACGGCCGTTTCCGGGGCCACGCCCGGCATTTCCAAAGCACTCCAGGCGAAAAGCTCTGCGAACTCCCTCAGAAGAGCGATAATGCGCTCCTTCACCTCCTCGGGTGCCTCTGCTGATATTCTCACTTGTCTGTCCGGGCGTTCTACGTCAAGTGCCACCAGAAGTTCCTCGTCGGCAGCTTCGGCCCGGGGCGCCTCTTCCGCCGGGCTTTCCAATATATTGACTGTTTCGTTACCCTTCCTTTTCCGCCCAGTCTCCTTTGCATAACGTGGGGCGCCTCTTCCCCTTGCCACACCTACTCCTTGCGGCGCAACGAACTTCAACGTCTGATGGCAAGTGGAGGCCACACCATTAAACAAGGCCAGGAGGGGTCTTCCCAGAATCGCGTTGTATGGTGACGGGCAGTCCACTATTCCAAAATTGATGGCACGCGTCATCCTTTGCTCCCCGTCTCCTAAGGTAACCGGCAAGCGTACCCGCCCTATCACTTTGGCGGGCGCCCCTGAAAAACCCACTAGCACTGACTCTGAGGGCCTGATCAACTCTGGCGATAGTTGCATGCGGACCATTGTGTCCTTGAATAACACGTCCATCGAACTCCCTGTGTCCACGAGCATTCTCCTCACCTGGCATCCTGCCACCACGCCTTGTATCTCCAGGGCGTCCATGGATGGGAGCATACAAGCTTCCTCGGGCGCCCTATTGAAACTGATGTCTATCGCCTCTTGGACTTCTGCCGACGCCGCCCTCAAGCGACGATTTGCCTCTATCTTCTCCCTCAAGTCCATTGTACCCGAAATTGCCTCTATTGTCAGGCGCACCCGTTCGGGTGCATTTTCTTGATCGAGGTCATATGGCGGTGGTGGTAATTTTTCCGTTGCCGTTTTTTCCACGCCGGCCACGCAGGCCCGGTGCACTCTTTCTTCAGGCTTCTTGACGAAATCATTAAGCATCCCCCTGTCAGCCAAACCTTGCAACTCGGACTTCAACTGGTAGCAGTCGGCCGTGTGATGTCCTACCTCTCGGTGGAAGTCACAAAATCGATCCAGGTTCCGCTCATTGGGCTGCCCTCTCATGGGGCCCGGCCACCTGATATGATACCCTTTCTCCTTGACATGTTGTAGTATGTTCTTCAGCGTGTCTGTATATTCAGCAAAGGGTCCCCTGGGCGCCGGGCGCCCAGTGTCCACCTTCCTTGGAGGAGGGGGGTTTATGGGCGCGTACCCTGTTCCGCCTGCAAAGTGCGGCCTCCTCGTTGGCTCCCCCTCATCTCCCTTTGCCTTTCGTCGATCGGCCCTTCTGGCTGCCAATGTTTCTTCAAGCATGATCACCTTTTGCACCCGGTGATCCAAGTCTTCAGTGCATACCACGTCTCTCTTTGCCAGCGATCTACACAACTCCTCACTGGTGGTGCACTCGTTCAAGCACACTCCCAACACCGAGGGCTGCACGTCCTTTACTGCCAGAGCCACCGACAACCACCTCTCATAAAACTCCCTCAGCGCCTCTCCCTCTCTCTGCTTGATCTTGAACAAGGCGCCTATGGTTAGTGTGCGTCGTTTCCTGCTAGCGAATTTCGCGAGGAACATCTCCGCGAATTGCTCAAAGCACTCAATGCGCCCTTCTTCGATTTGATAATACCAATCGAGCACCACGCCAGAGAAGGTTGATGGGAACACCTTGCACAGGGTGGCGTCCGTGCTGTTGTAAAGCTGCATTTTCGTGAAATAGCCGTTGAGGTGGTCTTCCGGATCAGTGACCCCATCATAGGTGGGGAGCGGGGGGATGTTGGTCCCCGCTGGTTCCGCAAGTATGTTGCGCGCCAACGGTTGCCTCACGGGTCCGTGGCGAGACAGACGCCCCAAAATTCCTCCATTCCATCCTCCTGTCTCTGGCCCTTCATACTCGCGCGGGCGCCACAAACTGGGGCGTCTCTGGTACCCCGACTCACTTTCCGTCTCCGCCACCCTCTCTCTTTTCTTCATCGGACTAGGTGTCATTCCTCCGCCTCTCTTTAGGGCATCGACCTCCTTTCGGAGCGCCTCGATTGCCCCATCTTGGTCCTCAATGATTCTGAACAACTCTCTCTTCGTCATCGAGGCGCCTTCCGACCCTCGAAACATGCTGCCGCTTTCCTCTCGTCCATTTCGGGCGCCAACCCCCTCAGTCGTTCTGATCGATCCTCTGTGACTTCTTCCCTCTCCCTCACGTCACTCATTTCCATTTCCTCACTCATGACTTTAGGTTATATCCCCCTATCTGGCGCGCCAATTGTTTGAGCCACGAAACCCCCTCCGCTATCTGGGCGTTTCCCTCCAACGGGCGTCGACCTGCAAACACAAAGAGGAGGGCGCCTTGGCCCGTTAATCCTCCGACGCTCAAGTTAGTCTCAGTGGGAAAGTCGAGTTCTCTATTAATGCTCTGGAGTGAGAGAGTCCAACCTCCTTAAATGCTATCGGTTGCCCTTATTTATACTCACCGAACCCGAGGTTGATCTCCGCCACGTCACCATTCTCATTTAATGCTCTGTGCCCCCTCTGTGAGACAGCTAACCGCCTTGTCAGGCTCCTGACACATGACAGGCACCTGACACATGACAGGCGCCCGCTGGCAGTGGTCCTCTGGACAGCTGGCCACTATTTGGCTTTTAGTGTTATATTCTTTGGGCCTTCCCCTTTTTTTTGGGCCCAAGGGCTTCTGGTGGATCCCTTTTCTTTGGCCTTGCCCCCCAATCTCTTAATTCTGGAGGCCCAAGCTATACCCCCAACAGATATTGAATAAAATACTTAACCTTTATAACAAAAAATAGCTAATCATAAATTGTCTAGTCTATAAACCGTGGACTAATTAAAAAGAATTTGATTTAGAATAAAACACTTAACCTTTATAATAAAACAAAAAAAGCTAATAGTCTCGTGTATAATTAAAAAAAAAATATGAATTTGTCAGCCGATTATTAGGGTAGAGTTTAAATTTGTATCCTCGACAAATAATCTTTTTTTTTGTTTTTAATTAAAATTACAATACTATCCTTCCTAGAATCACTCAGAAAGCTAGAAATTCTGAATGGAGAGTGTTCTAGTGGAGAACCTCCATGTATAAGTGGGAGGATCCCAAAATAATTATTTTACGTGAAAAAATAAAATATTTTAAAAAATATAAATAAATGTCCCCAATTCGCATCTTTTTTTCTTCTTTTGCATTGTTTTGCCCAACAGGCCATGTTTATAATAGCTATTTAAATAGATAAAATCCAAACAAATGATGGTCTATCACGGTTAATTCGCAACTTGAATATCACTGGTTTGAATCCCAGAGCGTACATTAAAATTATGGGATACACTCAATCAAAATAGTAGAATCCAAATTATTCTAACCAATAAATTTTGATTTCTAAAGGAAAATTCGATTGAACAGGTTATAATCCTTTTACTCATTCTCATATCGTGACATTATTTTTTTTTTAAAAAAACCTTGTAGGGTTATAGCTTTTGGACTGAAGCATATGAGAAAGGAAACTTTGTGATTAATAATGTGAGGCCTGGAGACTACAATTTATATGGTTATGTTCCGGGTATAATAGGCACTTTAAGACATCCTCAACTTATTACGGTGAAACCAGGTGTGTACGTACATAGAAAGTCGTCAACTCATTGAGTCACTTCCTAATTGACTTCCTATGATTGAAAAAACAACAGCAACATATTAGCCACTAAACAATTCAAAGATTGAATCCAACCGCAGGGAATGAGATCAACCTTAGCCAAGTTATCTATAAGCCTCCAAGAAATTGTCCTACGGTATGGGAAATTGGCATTCCAGATCGTTCTGCTAAAGAATTCTTTATCCCGGATCCAGATCCAAAGGCTCTAAACAAGTTCTGGTGTTTTGCTCACTTTTTAAGGTTTAAAATATATTTCTTGATAATATCGATATCAAGGAGATAATTTTATTGTATGATCCATTTCAAGAAAAATTATATACATGCAGGGTAAATGATACATTTTGTCACTGAGATTATTAAGTTGTGTCATGTTTAGTCACTAGAAAAAAATTAATATCAATTTTGGTCACTCGAATTATCGAAACTGGTCAAATTTAGTCACTCTCCCGTCAGTTTCCGTCCAACTCCATTAATGTAGTTGGACGGAAACTTTTGGGAGAGTGACTAAATGTGACATGTTTCAGTAATAAGAGTGACTAAATGTGACATTTTTCAATAATTCGAGTGACCGGAGTTGGACAGAGGCTACAGAAGAGTGACCAAATGTGACATGTGTCGGTAATTCGAGTGACCAAAATTGATATTAAATTTTTCTAGTGACTAAAATGACACGATTTAGTAATCTCAGTGACCAAATGTGTCATTTACCCTGTACATGCATATATACTGATTGGACTAATTTTATTGTACGATCCATTTCAAGAAAAATTATATACATGCATATATACTGATTGGACTAATTATGTTTTGGGTCTAATTCATTGTTTGAAATCTTAGGTCGGATGGAAAGACTCGTGGAATCCCACAATTTGGAAGATTATTTTTGACCTTCCAGAAGTATGCACAACCGGAAGTTACACTATCCACATAGCATTGGCAGCTGCAGAAATTGACAAATACACTTGTGCGTCTTATTTCCCCATCGTCACATATGCTCTTATAGTCATGCCATTTCTGGTGATTTTTTTGACTTAATAACACCTTGTGCCGCTTAATTATACCCACGTTATAAATCTATATCTAAACTAAAAAAAAAATAAATAAATGTGACTGCAAGTCCATTCTGAAAAAAAAAGTGAAATCGAGAGCTCAATTGATAAGGGTTAATGTCATATATTGGCCTTTCTTCTTTCAATGAATTTGGAAGAAGAGAGCGACGGGAGGAAGATGAATCTTGGGCTGTGGGTGCGCACGGTGTGGCGGAGCGGGTACTTGGACCGGCGGCGGTCGGAAGGGCGGTTGGTGAGGAGGACGGCGGCGGCTCCGATGCGGAAGAGGCAGTTGGTCAGGAGCATCGGCCGGTGGTTGCCGAAGTACCAGTTGCGGGTTATGTTCTCTGTGCTCACCACCAGGGCGTACTTCTTCTTCGTCTCCAGCGAATTCCGTGAAGACCCGGGCGTGTCTCTGCTCGCCGACGAACCACCCGGGGTCGTTCCGCTGCAACCTCCACAAGAACCGGTCGTCGGCGACGAGTAGCCGGCCGTCCCGGAGGGAACTGGTTGCAGCAGCGACGATGGCAAAGGCGACCAGAAGCGGCGGAGGAATTTCCAGCGCAGGCCGTCCAGGTTTTGCACGATGAACAGCGGCAGCGGCGTGGCGGTTTCGGGGGCAGAAAGGTGAGAAGACAGACGGCGGTTACCTGGGGTAACTGAACAGACGGTTCCGGTGAGATCTGTCGCAAGTAATTGGTAATTGTGTTTTTTAATTAATTATAATTTCACACTTTTTGGAATGGCGTAACTGCTCCAGGTAAGTAACTCAAACAAGACTCCTCAGATTCCTTTTTTTTACATTATTGCAATTTAGTCATTTTTTATTTCATTTATCTTTGTAATTATCCGCTTTACATTTCCTTCATTATTTATTAGTAAATTTTATTTGTTTTCTTTTGATACTTACCCTCTCTTTTATTCATTTTATTTGTCAATTTCGTCCGTTTTGTTTTTTGTTTTTCTTTATCTATTGTTTTTAAAAAAAAAATTAATTTCACATAGTTTTGGATTCGGTGTATCCGACTAAGCCTTAATGGCTTGTTTAAGTCCATTTGGTGGAGCTTAGTTGTCCTTCAGTGGGAACGCTTGTGTGTTTTGTTTGTTTTTTTGTAGGGGCACGCAGAAGAGCTCCCGTTATCGGAGAGTCTTCCTCAGACAGGTGACTTGGCTCATGATCAGGATGGAACTATCTTGCAGGATGCTCAGAGCTCGGCTTCTCTCTGTAGTTGGGTTTCTTACTATTTTGTTCTCTGTTGTCTCAATAGGGCTGCCCATCATGTGGCATAAAAGGCCCTCTCATCGGGAGTTCGACTATTGGTCGACTCCCGCGCTCTTTTTATTTTCTCTGTATGTCTGATTTTGTAACAACTGACTTTGCGAAAAAAAAAAAAAAAGAAATATCTCATCCAATTGTAAGAAGTTGTACTTTTATGACAATTTTGAACTCAAACATTATAAATGTTCATCGAGATTTTTCGTTTTTTCTTTTTTGCAGGTTTATGTAAACGATTTAAACGCCAGGAGGGCACATTATATGACGGGGACTTGTGGAGATGACAATGCAATTGCAAGACACAGGGATCATGGATTTTATAGGTGTTTTAGTGGACCTCTAGCATCCAATTTATTGTAAGATGTAGGAATTCATAATCTCACCATAGCAATTGATGAAAGTTCAAATAAAATTTTACCATATATAGCCTATGTAGTGTGTTAAACATCAGTCCCGCTATCTGAGCAGTCATCAAGTGAAGGAAACACCAAAAGACTAGATCTCTGACCGCTTATGCTCAAACACAACCTGCAAAGGTGAAGAATATATCCAAGTAATTAAGTAGCTTAAAATTGAAGTCCCAGTCCTTCCAATTAAAGAACAACTGATTTCAAAACGTTTTGTAGCATAATATAGCCAGATACAGATGAGTCACAGAGCTTCTGCCATATACATCAAACCGTCAGGTTACTAATTAGTTAAATTTGGCTATCGATAACTGACCGTTCACTGTTTAATCGGCTATCGGTGCAACAATTAACCGTCACTTACCGATTCGGTTATCGGTTACACCGCAAACAAGATAACTGTTTAACAACCCTAGATGTGGTTGTTGATCACTGTTCTGTTCATTGAGATGATAACTGCTACCTGGTCCGAAAAATCTGCTTCTCTTCTCTTACTTCCCGCTTCTTTAGTCATTTCTCCCCCTTCAATCAAACCCTAAAATAGCAACCCAGTTCCAAACACAATTTCTAACTTAGCATCAGACTTGGTCATTTTTCATACATACTTGTACATCAAGTCATCAACCGCGACATATTACGACGCATTGCGCTATGTTGGTTTGTTTCTATGTCATTACAATACCAAGACTACATATGTACCTTTGTTCTTCAAGTATAGATAAGTATTTACACCTTATCCTCTATGCCTCGACGCAAATCTTTGGACCCTTTGCACGCCCAGCATTTGCGGATTTGGCTTGCTCTACATATCGCCATACTTCTTGCATTGCCTGTACACTTCTACATCCCAAAAAACATGGACCAGCCTCAAAATGGTCCCCCGAAACACGTCACTGGCTTGCTAACTCGTCTCGTAGCATGCAAGCACTATAATCTCGAGCGGCGAAAGCGTTTCAAGGCCTGGAGATGCGGGCGCTTGCCAGCAGAAGCAACAGGTTTCCCATTGAGGCATCCAGAAAACCTGATATCCCATCCGTCCACATACTTGGGGACGCAAACATCGAAGAGTGCCTGGCCAAGAACGCCATGAGCGCTGATTCTGGGGGGGCTCGTTAGGTTTATGGAGGAGCTGGCTTTCCCTTCATCTTGTGGAGATTCCGACTCTTTGTTGTTATAGTCTTTGGAAGAACTTGGTGCAAAGAAGTCATCATTGGGCAGAACTGGTGGAACTCTTTTCAACCCTTCGTTTGAGTCGACTGCCACTTGCTGAAGGTCGCATACTAAGTTTGATATTTTGTGATGCATATCATCCATCTTTAACCCCTCTTCTAGTTGTTGGATTCTTTGACAGTAAACTGATGCAGCTTTCTCTAGGAAATTGGTCACTGCAGTGCTGTATGGGGTTGGATGATGCTTGTAGTGACCTGGGAAAACAAGATCATGTAGGGTGCAACCTCATAATTAGCTGAGCACAAAATCACGAGGCAGATTTGATCATATAGAAGACAAAAGAAGGAAAAGAATACAAAACAGACCTAGGTGAGGAGAAGAATGCAACTTCAGAAGAGCGACATCTGCCCCGAGTACTTGTAGCTGTTGGCTGAATTCACAGATAACGTTACAAGGTGCAACCTCATCATTAGCTGAGCACAAAATCAGGTATGGAGCCCCCAACTCCTGAGAAAAGAGAAAGCGAGCACACAAGCCCAATCAAAAAGATGGATTAAAGCAAAGGCTTCAAAGGACAGAGTTGGTACGGGTTCCAACTTACAGCTGAAGAGTACAGATTCTGCCAATACTGTGCACGCTGGTACTCAAACCTAGTAAGGTGCAAACCGTCAAGACCAGAAGTGACCCCTTTTGCCAACCAAGACATGAATTTTGATGGGCCGGGCATTTTCTGAATGACAGGAAGAGCAAACTGGGCAGCCAAATCACTTGTAAAGTCTACTGGGCTAGAATCATAGATATGCCCAGAGAAACAGTTTCCAACTAAACGGCTTTCATCCTGCACCAAGAAAGGAAGCAATTAGAACGAGAGGGACGAAGTAAGAGGAGATGTCATGCTACGGAGATATAACTACTACACAAGGAATACATACCAGGTTAAGGTGACCTTCACATGACCCTTGGATAATCTGCATAATGCAAAGCTTTAACCAATTAATCCAGTTGAAAAATGACAACAACAAAAGAGGAAAAAAGGAAAAAGTTCAGAGAGCTTACCTGAAAAACCTTGGACATGCAAGCTTTTGAACCACCAGAAAGAGCCACAAAGACAACTGGACATGGCCGAACCCTTAGCTCCTACATACATAAAGTTTTGATGATGAACACCTATTTCAATTACATCATCAAATTTTAAAGAAAGAAAACACCCCTAGAACCTCCCCTGTTCTACCACCCTGATCATAGATAGTAAAAGTGGCCGTCTTCAGTAAAGGCCATTTGAACAAGACAGCGGATTTCGATATTACTATACAGCTCGTCTGCTCGTGCAAGGTTCGAGTCCATATGCCTAATTTGAGATGTAAGCCTAGAATCGTCCACTATGACCACCCAGTAAACCAAGACAGTATGTAAAGTTAGCTAACCTGGACGAGTTCACTGAGGAGGAGAAAAGCCAAAGAAATGGCTTTATCAGGATCAAACCTGCATAAAAAAAAACAGAATATCATCGAGCATCAAATGTACTAACCCAGTTCCTGAATCCAAAAGAGACAGAATTACATGGATGCAAACCAGTATGCTTCACAGACCGGTACCATCTTTCATACACAATATAGAATTCTCAAAACCTGAATCAACCTAACCACACTAAATTCCACGCAGAGCAACTGGAACAAGCACAGCTGTCTACATTACGTATAGAAATCCATGTTTGGCAACCAAAAGAGCCGTGATTAAGCAAGTTCTTCATTTCCGTTTCCCCACATAACATCCTGAAACTTGCAGTCCTTTCTTTTCAGCTCAAATTTCCCCCCTCATTTAACCACAACACAGAGACAAACAAGCAAGCAAACTAGCAAAGAGAGAGAGAGAGAGAGAGAGAGAGAGAGGGTTACGCGGTGAGGAAATCGGCATGGGAAACGAGAGAATTCCAGCCGAGAGAGGAATACAAATCGACGAGGCTCCTCAAATCCACCGGCTGAGCGGAAACCCAAGCGAATATCACCACGATCCCTTTGAATTCCCTGCTCCTCCTCCTCCTCCCCCAGTACACACTCCCTCCGCCGCCGCCGCCGAACATTGCTGCAGAAGTCGCAGCTGCAGCTACTAGTACCGCTGGTCAAACCGGAGCGGCAAAGCGCAAAGAAGAACTCGCTCTCGTTCAGGTTCAGCTGAAGATGAAGAAGAAGATGAGGAACCGATAGAGGTTGGCACTAAGTCAGGTATTGCATCCGGATTATGGTTTCTCTGCTTCTCTGCTGTTGGATTCTGGTTTTCGTAGCAAGCGCTCATTTGAGGAAGCTTTGTGGGCTCCATTGACGCTGCTGGTGGTGCTGGTGAATGATCCAGTTGGGATGGGGATGATTATTATTTTATATTATTTTGTTGTAATCCAGTTAATATTAAACTTTCATCATCATTCATTAGTCCGCTACCTTTTAAGTTAATCTTAGGTTGATCTAAGGCAAAAGCAAACACACGTCACGACAACTTTTTTTTTTTTAAATATTGGTAATGATTATAAGATTGAGTCATTTGAAAAAAAAGGGAAATTTGATAAATTAGTTGGTTATGTTTATCGATTAATGAAAGAGCTCAACGGAAGAGAAAAAAAAATGCATGTTCGATTTTTTAGAAGGCTCGACGATTTGTACTCCTCTCTCGACTCACGTTTCTTATGCCGATATGTATTCCTCTCTGTTAAAATTCTCTTGTTTCCTATGTCGATTTCCTCACCTCTTTCGTTAAGGGTTCCTAACAACACAAACCAATGATCAAAGTCGTAGGTCGAATCGTCAATGGGACAGTTCGGACGCGCTACAAGCTAATACGCTTTCAATTATTAGACGGATGATTATTGTGAAAAATGTTATATATAGTATTTATGTCCTGACGGTTAAAATTGTTGTATATGTGATTCAAAGATATTGATGCCTTCTCCATCAATATGCCAACCAAGGAACCATCATTTACAGCCAGGAACCATCATTACAACTAAAGAAAAAATATAACCAATTGAATTTGCAACCCAAAAACAACCTGATCTAGGTATCAATCATAGATGAAAAATACATGGGGAAAACGTGTATATTAACACGATGCAACGGTCAAAACGGACATTTTCGACTTCCTGTTACGCATATTAGGGGTTCGAAATACGCCACGAATAGAAGAGTTCAGAACCAACTAAGGTAAATTGTCTAATCAGCAAAAGGGTAGAGACTGGGCATGTTGTAAGCGCCCCTCCCGCTTCCATTAGAATCCACCATGGGGTAGTGATGCATTGGCGACTGCAGCTCGCCCGAGTGAGAAGACGACGACGACTTCCTAGACGTCTGTGGAGAACCTGCGTAGAATCCGTTTAAGCTGTTGCCGCCTCCTGCATACATTGAAGAGGATAGAGGGAATCCTTGCATTTTCGGCAACCCCGTTGTATCAGAACCAGAGCTGTGCCCTCTTTCCACGGATTCAGCTTCCAGCGGCAGTTCTTCCAGTGTCTGTTGTTGGTAAAGATAAGACAGAAGAAGAGAGTTAAGCGCAAGGGAGCTTTTGGAACTTACGTGAGATCATACAAGCAAACAATTAAGGGTGGGAACTTACTCGAAATGCTTGTTGAAGGACTTTGAGGGTATCTCTTGTCCGCTTTCTCTTCACTGAAATCTCGTCGGGCTCTTGCAACATCTCCTCAAACAAGTTCTCCCTGGAAATGTGAAGCACGATATGATTAGGAGGAGAGAATCAAATTTACAAAGGCATGAATTACATTAGAAACTTGATATTACCTGTAAAGCTTCTTAATCAACACATTGTGCAGCTCTCGTTTGGCATGCTGTACCTGAAAAATTGCAACGATCGATAATGCATCAGTAAGACAACTTCAGACAAGAAGTTGCTGACAACAGTCACTTTATCCAATTGTCTAATGAAGCAATTACCAGAAAGTGCATGATAGTTTTTGGCACTAAATCCTCAATGTTCTTCCGAACAATATTGTAGTACGACGTCAATAGCAATTTAATGACTTTGATTTCAACAGCCTCCTGCTCCGAGGGGGTATCTGAAGGTCTCAACATTTCTGGTGGCTGGAGAACAGGGGAACAAAATCCAGTCAGCAACATAAGAAGCAACAGAGCACAACAGAAAGCAGTCAGTTAGAAACAGCTAGTTCATCAAACCTCTTGCAAATGGATCACAGACAGGCTCTTGTCCAAAGGGTCACTTCCATGAACTGCCTCCATATATCCCATACTTGCTGAGTTCTCAGATGACATACGGGAACTATTACTTCCCTTGAAAATTGACGAAATGCCCCATGAAGAGCCGCTATGATTTCCTGGAACCAAAACATCAATTATCTCCCAGAGCCAGCAATTGGCATGCATTATCATTAAACATGCCAAAATGCAGAATTGGGTGATTCTTTTGGAAACCAAATTTAGAATTTTATAACTATTTACCGGATGGTGCAACCTTCTCAACATCTGCCACTCGGCGTACTCCCTGTAACATGGCAATTGCATAAAAAAGAAGGGGAAAAAAGGGACTTGTAAGTAACAGCAACGAAGAAAGAACAATAGTAAGCTTGTTGAATCTCAAAGGACAACAATAATATAAAATGAAAAGTATTATCATGCCTGATCAGGTGCAAACCCATTGACAGGTCTGCCAAGAATAGCTCGAGTCTTCAGACTCCTTTCGGAGGATGGTGCTTTTTCAGCTTCAGTGACATCCTATTTGAAGTCATAGCATAAAGTTAGACGTGAAGAGAAAAAAGAGGTCCTAAAAGGTCCTTCTATAGAATAACTACAAACTGAGAGAACAACCCATTGTACGGAGAAAAATGCTGACCTTTGGCCTGGAGATTGCAGGATTGACTTTTGATGTCTTTACTTGTTGCTCCGCAACTTCCACAGCATTGGTCCCTCCAATAAAATTTGGGTGGGAAGTATTTATGTAGTCCATCTATAAAGTACCCAAAACTTATTAGGTATTTCACAAGGGAAAACAACTAGGATATATGTTAAGCAATAAAATCAAGAAATGGGGGAACAAGAAAACGAGAAGCAAGACTTAAAGCATTAAGAGGTGAATATACCTCCATTTCAATAAGATGCCCAATCATCGTCTCCGATGGTTCAAGCCCATCCCTCAAAAAGTTTCCAATGACTTCATCCATGCGTTTTTTAAGAATAGGAAACCGCTGCAGCTCATTGGCTAGACAGCGATGGCTAATCTGGAGAGACGGAGAAACATTTATACCAAACCAGAATATTAATGAGAAATAAGCAATGGAAAAAACTACAAGGAAAAGCTTCTACCTTTAGTAGCTCATCATATATGAATCTTGCACACTGCAGGCTTGGATACAATAACCGGGCAATTTGCCTCCGAACAAGAACTTCAAAAGGAATCTGTACATAGTAGGAAGGAAAACCATTATTATGATACCAACAGTAGTGAAGGAAACAATAGCATCAGCGAAATATGAACAAAACTGCAATAAGAATAAATCGGATTTCACAAGCCTAACCAGACAGAAATATACAATGGAGAAGAAAAGGAAGAACTTACAACTGGTACAAACAATGCAGCATTAGAACCACAAGCATTTCGAATCGCAGTTCGGATGTCATCATCTGTCAGATCTTCACAAGGATCAACCCCCTGCAGTGAGACATCAGGTGGTGGTTGTTCGTTACTGGATTAAAATTGTTAAACTTACACAAAAACACACTGCAGCCAAAAAATATAAGAGCATGCACATAAGCCCATAATTAATTGATACTTCTCTAATGCTTATCATAAACATAGAGGCACCCAGAAACGAAAAGATGGATTAAGCTCCGAGTTTCAAGACCTGCAATTTACTAATTCTGAAAAGTAGCACACATGCAAAGACAATGCCATCTTCATATTCCCTTTATACAGAATGCACAGCTGTAAGCAATCATCGTACAAACCTCCAAACTCTTGACAAAAATTGACTGGAAGACATATTTGATGCGCGCTAAACCAGACAGCTGAGTTGTTGATGTTTCTTCATTTTCCCCCTCCAACATTGAAGAAAAAGCTGTCCAACAAGAAAAACTTATAATCAAATGTTTAGCATATGCAGAAAGAGAAAAGGAAATGAGGTGGTTACAAGGGACAACCGCTACTCCATTAGGAAATTCAGATATACCTTTCCCATATTTTGAAAAGATATTCAACAGAAGAGCACCTTGACCAGCCTACAATTAAAAAAGTCAATAAGCAAGTCTATCAAGGAGAACGACAAAATGATTCCCAAAAGCAGTAAGACAATAAGCACCTTAGACTCAGTGATTTCTCCGTAGCTGGCATGCTCCTTTGCAACAGAAACAAGTGCATCACTTATCCGTGATTTCAGCACTGGGAGAATCCCTTTGATATGCTGCACTAAAATCTGAAAGAGACGAATAGTAAAAACTGTTAAGCGTGGAGACCAGTATGAACTCTCCAAATATTAGGAGAGCAAGGACATTAACATCAATTGCATGGAAATAATTATAAGACCATTATATTAATAGAATATGATTGCAGGAAGAAATAACACAATCAACAAAACAAAAATAACAAAAAAAATTATGGTGATGGTTATGATGATGATTATAATAATGGCCACACGTTTTCATATTAAGTGCAATGTGATTGAATCATCGGATTGTGTGGAGTAAGGCATCCTTAGTAGTATAATTTCCAGGATAAAATTACATACATGATTCAACTTCTTGGCAAGCTGAGGAATACCGCATCGATCAGCCAAGGAATTGTATACCTGGAAAAAAATCAAATGAATTGATGAATCATCCTATCAAACCAATTAACCATGAGAGACATCAGTTAATGGAACTGTGTGATAGGAAACGTCATACTGGATGAGAGCGAAAGAACCTCTCCTCTGCTGCAAGTGCATCCTTAATAGTTCGATTGAGATTGATATCCTGCAGCACATTAAATGATTATTTATATCAGCCAACATGTAACGTCAACCAATATCCAAAAGAACTAACAAAACATGCCACTTTAACCAAGCCCGCATAAAATGGTAACCAACAAATTACCTCTTGACTACGATTCACAACACCAACATAACCAAGTCGAAGGGGAATCACTTTTCCAAGTAACAAGTTACGGGCATCAGTGCCTCTATCCATGATATCCAGCTGAAGTCGACAAAGAACATATCAACTACCACACAGAAAAATGTATTTGAAATGATAAATTAGAGAAAACAGGATGCAGAGCAAGAAAGTAACCTTTGTGATAATGCCAATTGTCCTGTAACCTGCAATAAACTAAAATGTCAGTATTGCAAAGCAATCATGAAAAAAGGCATTGAGGATCAAGTTTCAAAAGCAAGTACCATCAGGATCAGCAATTCCTGCAATCTGAAGTGCATCTGAGTTCGCCAAGTCCGCATTGGCAGCAGTGACAGCCAGAATAAGGCAGCTAGGTTTTTTAATGTATGACATGATCATTGTTCTAATTCTTGATTCAATATCCGTGGGTTGATCACCAACAGGCACTTTTGTTATCCCGGGAAGATCGACAAGTGTCATGTCAAGAACATTTGGGGAGAAAATCTTCAAACGGATCTGCTTGTCTGAGACACCTTTGTTGTCTCCTGCTTCCTTAGCTGTTACAGCCTACATCCAGTTCATTCACATATAAACAGTAAGTAGGACTTGGAGACAGATTTTACAATAACTTAGTCTAGCTCTCTGAATTATATACAAAACATTCTCGACGCAGTTTGAAGACACAATTCTCGAGGAAGTGTCGCATGATAGCAAGCAACATAAGAGAATCATAAGCATGATTATCAATTAAAGCTACTAAGTTTTTGGGCTCACGTAACAATCTCATTACAAAATCAAGCTACTGCGCATAAGAGTGCATTGTGCGTGATGCAGTAACGCTAGATGTGACACCGAATTCCTATAATGTCTAGCCAATAAGCTCCCCTGGAGTAGTGTAAAATGCTTCACCCAACGTTCAGGACTCAATCTACCATTACAGACCCTAACTTCATTCACGTCCTACAGCTATCCTACAGGACGGCTTTTTTCCTAACTAGAACGCCACAATCACAGCAGCAATCCACGGCAGACAAATAGGAAGGCTTTTTCCTTCCTACGATGGTTAAGCAACACAGAAATTGAAGCTAAGGGAGTTCAGATAATAGAATCCCTATTCCCTACAGAATCACAGAATTAGAACTGAAAGGAAGCAGCAACTTGCACTAACAATCTAGTCAGAAATCACAGGTACTTGCATACTCCAAAACTATGAACAGAACAAACACGGCTAATTTACAGTCTCAAGTTCAGATAACAAGAAAATAAAGAAGCAACAAACAATAAGAAAAGATTCTCTAACCAGAACACACCTCAATTTCTCTGCGGATCTCCGAGAAATCATAGAAGCGCATATCCGGACGGTGGAGGAACTCCCCCCACTCCTCTTCAATCCCGTCGCCCTTCCTCTTCGTCTGCACCAACTGCAACACCAGCGGCCGGCGCGTGCAGATATCGCTCCCGCGCGGCAGGAAATCCCTCCCGACCAGAGCCTCGAGAACGCTGGATTTGCCGCTGCTCTGGCTGCCGACCACCGCCACCTGCGGCAAGTCAATCGTGGACTGGCTTCCAAGCTGAGCGAAGATGTCCTGTAGCTTGTTGACGATGGGGATGACCGAGGATCCCAGCGGCGCCGCCGATTGCGACGGCGATGGTGACGCCGGCTCGTCGGCCATTGCTATGGATTCAACCGCAGAGAGAGAGAGAGAGATGAAGCGGGAAGAAGATGCCTAGGGTTTTGGAGACTCTTGAGAGAAACAGGGAAAGAAGGTTTTCGCCTTTTTTCTTCTTCCTTAATTCACTCTTTTGAGTTTCTCTGTGTTGAGAGAGACGGAAGAGATTATGGAGGCTTTTTGTCTGTCAGGTGAGTTTAAGTTGGAGTTAAAATGTGTCTAATCGGAGCTGGCTTACGAGCCACGTTCCGGACTTCCGGTAACGACTGGAAAAAAGAGAGCGAGCGCCGAGCGGGGACACGTAAAGACAGAGAATTTAAATTAAGTACCTAAAATTTTATCTTCTACCCAAGTGAATCCCTCAACTCCGAAAATGGTCGTTTGGTTTTGATGATAGTTAAATAGATGCATTGGTATCAATACATGCATAATAATATACATGTATATAAGAAAATTGATGTATTGTAGTTCACATTGTTTGGTTCCTGCGATAGTTATTCTAGTATTTAAATAAGATATATGGTTTTCTGGGTGAAATGTCATTTTTACCCTTTGTTATTAATATAAAAAGAAAAACACATAAAAAAGTAGGGATATAGTTGGAAGTAGAAAACACTCCAACAATCTCAAACAAACAATCTCACCAAAAACTTGAGATATTACTATCACTCATTTTGAGTGATAGTTTCCATCACATCAAACAAACAATGCATGTATAGTTTGTGCAGAAAATTCAAAAAAAAAATGCATTATGAAAAATGCATGCATTGTAACTATCACAACCAAACAATCACCAAAATCAAACAAGTACCTAAAAATTATAGGCTAAAATGTTCGATTATTTGTATTACTGTCAAAGGGCTGAGGGTTTTCCTACAAAAAAAAAAAGGGTTGAGAGTTATATGATATGTTCAAATGCACCTCACACTGATCTTCAACTTCTATAACCGGAAAACACGAAGAATAGTTTTGATTATTATTATTTGTTAGTCGTATAATGTCCGTTAGATATTGAAATTCAAATTGCAAACAATTAATTGTATCGAATTCATAAAATCGTCAATTTTCTCTGTCAGTAAATACTTCATTTAAAGTGGTCAAATGAAATGTTGATACAAGCAATGAAATACATTGCACGTATGAGTACTAGTAGGATCCATGGAAGACAAAGCGAGGAACGCATAAATTACTAAAATATTACAAATTTACGATAATTTATTATAAATGTTAGTCAATGACTAGTTGAAGAATCGTTTCTCGAGTTTAACATACAAGTCATTTGCACTCATCCCCGCTATCATCCAAAGAAGAACACAAATAGATAATTAATCACAATTGTGATTGATCAATTCGAGATAAATTAGAGGCTGTTAATCCTACAAAATTCAGAAGTGAAAGGCCTGCTTGTCTCACCATGAAAATAGAATACCCTAGACAAGATCACAGCCCTGCCAGATTAAAGCATCAATGTCGATAACAATACAGTGGAAACTACAATTTGTGTCTCCGATAACCCCTCGATCACGTCACCTATTCCTTATGGGAATTCGACAAACAAATCTCAGAACCATAATTAATTTACACAAATACCCCTCTCTATCTTGCTGGCTGACAATGGAAACCCACCAACAACAAGGCAAAAACTTATTCCCAAGGATAGAGACCTGGCATGTAAACACCGCTGCTGCTGCTCCCATTCGAATCAACACCGGTGGAAGAATGTGATTGCAGTAGCTCGCCGGAGTGGGAGGACTTCCTCGACCTTGGATTACTCGGAGAAGAGTGATACCCGTTCGAGCTCGTGGTTGTTCGAACTCTAGGCAAACCGATTGTATCAGCAACCGTGCTGTGTCCCCTTTCGAGTGACTCAGCTTCCAATGGCAGTTCTTCCAGTGTCTGTGATGGGCGAGATGAAGGGTGAGAAACATGGGAAGCACTAGAATGTTTACATTGATGGGGTACTGCATCTGCTGGAACTTACCCGGAAAGCTTGTTGGAGGACTTTGAGTGTTTCTCTCGTCCGCTTTCGCTTCTGTGCGATCTCGTCGGGCTCTTGTAGCACCTCTTCAAAGAGATTCTCTCTGCCAGGAAATGAAAAGCAGAGGTGAAAGAGAACAAGTGAGTGTTTGGATGGTACCTTTAGCTAGGACCGCAAGCAATCAATGTAGAACAATGCATTTTACCTGTAAAGCTTTTTAATCAGAATGTTGTGCAACTCACGTTTCGCATGCTGAACCTGCACAATGAAATGTAAGATGAAGACTTGGAACAAGCACGGAAAGGAGAGCAAAAACAGAAAGCTTTAAAGAATGCGAGATACATAAAGAGGCGATTTCACATGGAGCGTCTATGTAAACTTGAGTATTATGACCTTTCATAATAAAGAGATGACAAATGCTACTAGTTCGACCTAGAAGAATACATTCAGTTTCAGCCTTTCAGGAATCAAAACCCATGATAAGTTTACAACTCTTTCATGCCACAGCATAAGAAACATAGGGGAGGTTTGTAACCCCTAGACTGTTAGGATACGTAGCAATTAGCAAACAGAGTATAGACCAGATATTCTTGATTGCCATAAAACCAATCTTTCCAAAAACTTGTTCCAATTTCAAGGGTAACATTTAGCAAGATTCTGCAGCAAGTGAGAAAAACTGGAAGAAGAGCACAAGCATGGGTATGGCCACAAGGTAAGGACTTACAAGAAAGTGCATGACGGTTTTAGGCACTAAATCTGAAATGTTCCTCCGAACAATATCATAGTATGATCGCAATAGCAACTTAATGGCTGTAATTTCAATAGACTCCTGCTCAGAAAGGCCTTCTGTAGGTCTCAAGATTGTTGGAGGCTAGGTACACAGTGAACAAATTCTAGTCAGCATGTACGAACCAGCCGCGGAGTAAAACTCAAGCAGACAAGGGCAGACAAGGCAGTAAAACTGTTTCTTAGATGATATGAATCTCCAAACCTCTTTCAATCGGATAACAGAGCTGCTACTCTTGTCCAAATAGTCATTTCCGTGAGTAGGCTCAATATGTGCTTTGCTTGTTGAACTGTCCTTGGAAAGACTAAGGGAACTATCACTTCCGCCAAAAATTGATGAAATGCCCCAAGAAGATCCACTATGGTTCCCTAATCACAATGCAATTTGTTCAACAGTCAGTGAAAGGGTACATATACATATTTTAAGCTTGAAAAACAGAACCTCAAATAGATTTCTGAATCTTTGCTCCAACTTACCAGAGGGCCCAACCTTCTCAGCATCTGCTACCTGGCGTACCCCCTGTAAGTCATTGGGGAACAAAAAGATAATCAGAAAATAATTGATCTTGAAAACAATAATAACATCAGAAGACATACTAGGCAAGAGAACTGGAGGAAGAAGAAGAACGAAGAGAAAGCCTGAAAGCTGCAACTGTTCTTGCCTGATCAGGCATAACTCCATTAACAGGCTTGCCAATAATAGCACGAGATTTTAGGGTCCTTTCAGATGCTGGTGCTTTATCACCTTCTACACCGTCCTATTTGGGAGAACACTTAGAAAGTTAAATGTGGAACAGAAGCAAAGAAAAGATATGAAAAGTGACTATACAAGAAAAAATAATGAGCGAGTAATCTTAAAAACATCCATGCAAATTATAATTTCTATGGGTAATGCACACCTTTTGCCTCGAGGCAGGGATGCTCAGTCTCGAAGTCTTCAATTGTTGTGCTGCAACTTCCACAGCCTTAGTCCCTCCAATAAAACTTGGGTGGGACGTGTTTATGTAGTCCATCTAAAGAAATATTGAGAAAAGGAGAACCATAAGCCAAAACAAAACATGGAAAGTACTCAGTACACATCAAGACATCTCAGCTAGGTTGTAGAATGTTAAGCCCACCAAACTGCACCAGTCATTGTACAATAAAGCAACAAAAAAAAAAGCCCCAAAAAAACAAGGGAGAGAGTAGAAAACAAAGAGTGATACTAAGGCATTCACCCAGAAGAAGAAATAAAAACTAAGTGGAGCTAAGCTAAAAGAGGGAAAGAAAGACCACATAGGCTGCTTCAATAAGACTTTCAGAGAAGCAAGCAACTCAATTACCTCTGTTTCTATAAGATGACCGATCATGGTCTCCGAAGGTTCAAGACCATCACGTAAAAAGTTCCCAACAACTTCATCCATGCGTTTTCTTAGAACAGGAAACCGGTGTAGTTCATCTACCGCCACTAGACACCGATGGCTAATCTGGAGATTCAAAAATCTAAATTAAAAACCCAACTATTTCAGATGCAGACAGAGAACACACTAGGGGAAAGCCTGACCTTTATTAACTCGTCATATATGAACCTGGCACATTCAAGGCTCGGATCCAGCAAACGAGCAATTTGCCGACGTACAAGAAGTTCAAATGGCACCTGTGCAATAAAAGCATCAACGATGGTCAAAATTTGCTGCAAACATGATATGAATAAGGCAGGATATGCACAAACTTAAATAAATGTTATCGTGAATCTTTAACTAAACAGAAACTACATAACGGAACAAAAGAAAGAGCAACTTCACCCACAACTGCTACAAATATTGACGATTTGGGACCACAAGCATTTTGAATGGCAATACGAATGTCATCATCTGTCAAATCCTCACAAGGATCAACCTCCTGCATGAGAGATCAAGTGACATTACATTTATTAGTCATTGGGCCAAGCTTTCCATAGAAGGCACAGAGCAAGCACACATAGAGAGAGCTTGTGCAAGCTTAGAACTTTTGAGGCATGTAAATTGCCAAGTACAAGACAAGATGATACCAAATGAATAGTTCTTGCACATTCACATATACAATCCAAAACGGAAAATATAAACATATACACACCTCTAAAGTTCGGACAAAAATTGACTGGAAAACATATTCAATAAATGCTACGCCTGAGAGCTGGGAAGTTGACAATTCTTCATTTCTTCCTTCTAGCATCGAAGCAAAAGCTGCTCAAGAAACAAAATTTACACACAAAGGTCAACAGAAATAAAAGGAAAACATATCATACATTTAATGACAATGTGCACACAACAAACCAAATAGAACAGAAATTATAACGGTTAGACTTGTATCATAAGTCATAACAGGTGAAAAAGAGGGACTAGGATACACATAATTACCTTCATAGTATTTTGAGATTATGTTCAACACGAGAGCCCCTTGACCAGCCTATAATATAAAAGTCGGCAAACTCAGTGAGATTACTGAACCTAAACAAAAACATGGCCAAACTAGTAAAACAATAAGTACCGAACCAATCCATAAATTTCTAAAAGTGGTGCCAAAAGATTACACACCTTAGATTCAGTGATTTCTCCATAGCTTGAATGTTCCTTTGCGACACTCACAAGAGCATCACTAATGCGAGACTTCAACCCAGGAAGTATTGCTTTAATATGCTGCACTAAGATCTGCAAGAGGCATAGTAAAAGAATCAACCACAACAGTATAACAAGGTAAGAGATCTTTTCAAATGAAACTCTTTAAATAAGTGTAAGTAACAGTATCAGTTCATTAACAAAATAAATTTCTTCAAAACCACGCCAAACTTACACAACCAAATAATTACGCAATTGTCTTTCATCGTCAAGAAGATGACTATTTAAGGGAAATAGAAGACACATTTGCATAATAAGCAAAATGCACAGGAGACTTGCGCATAATATTCTAGATAATTAGATCAATGGCCAGAAAAGGTATACATTGTTCAATTTCTTTGCAAGCTGAGGAACACCACAACGATCAGCTACAGTGCTGTAAACCTACACAAAAATATAAGGGGAAACAAAGTGTAAGCAAACACATCCATACATAATACAAAAAAAATAGAAGAATCGGCAAACCAACTTCGATTATAGTAAAACAAAACAAAGAAATGAGGAATAGGACAATCATACTGGATGGCTGCGAAAAAACTTCTCTTCTGCTGCTAATGCATCCTTAATACTTCGGTTGAGATTAATGTCCTGAGTTAAGAGTCACGTGATGCATCAGCCAGAAGAAACATCCAAACATTGGTCACTGAAAAATATATCGGTTGATACTTTCTCCGCTTGCAAGTAAACCAGTAAAAGACATCCATATTCAGCCATGATTACCTCTTGACTACGATTCACAACGCCTACATAACCAAGTCGCAGGGGAATCACTTTTCCGAGTAACAAATTGCGGGCATCAGTACCTCTATCCATGATATCCAACTGGGTGGGGAAATAAATGTTAAATTTGACAACAAATATATAACACACCGCTCTGAAATGATAAGTAAAATAAAGTAAGAATGCCACCTTTGTTATTATACCTATGGTCCGGTAACCTGCCAACATTTCAACGTCATATTATAAGCCCCGTAACGTAAACATAAAAACAAAAATAAAGCACTCAGAGTCAAGATTCAAAACAGAAGAACTACCATCAGGATCAGCAACTCCTGCAACTTGAAGAGCATCCGAGTTTGCCAAATCCGCATTTGCAGCAGTAACAGCGAGTATAAGACAGCTTGGCTTTTTTATGTACGACATGATCATTGTTCTGATTCTAGATTCAATATCAGTGGGCTGGTCACCGACAGGAACTTTTGTTATCCCAGGAAGATCAACAAGTGTGATATCAAGAACATTAGGGGAGAAAATCTTCAAACGGATCTGCTTGTCCGAGACACCTTTGTTCTCTCCCGCTTCTCTAGCTGTTACAGCCTACATCCAATCCAAGCCACCAATAAATACAATACTATAAATAAGAATCAGAGCATGATAGCGACATCATTATGTTAAGAACGCAGCTTTCATGCAGTATCTATAAATCAGCAACATAATTTGCTTAGATTCGTTGCGTGTTGCATTTAAGAATACAGCAAAAGGAACAATATAACATCCAAGAGTACACTGCGTTCTCTAGCGATTCAATGATCAGAATTTAGCTTCCACATAATCAAGTACAGGAACGCTAGCTTTTATCGGTGATAGCAGAGTTCTATCCCCTTTGTTTCATCCTAAAAGGCTAGGCAAGAAAAAACCAGAAAATTATAGGTAAACGAATTTCAGGAACAAGCTAGTTCAAGCACATTCCATCCGACTTCTCTTAATAGAACTTGCCCTTAACCAAAACCACAGCAACTAAACTAAAACAGTCCTACTCTCAAGGCATTAGGTTCAGCAATCTCCAGTTCACTACTATCCTACTCCAGGTAAACGAAACCGAACCTCGATTTCACTCCGGATCTCGGAGAAGTCGTAGAACCGCTTGTCAGGCCGATGGAGGAACTCCCCCCACTCTTCCTCGCTCCCGTCGCCCTTCTTCTTCGTCTGCACCAGCTGCAGAACCAGCGGCCGGCGCGTGCAGATTTCGTTCCCGCGAGGCAGGAAATCCCTCCCGACCAGCGCCTCGAGCACGCTCGACTTGCCGCTGCTCTGGCTGCCGACCACCGCCACCTGGGGCAGCTCTATCGAGGACTGGCTCCCGAGCTGGGCAAATATGTCCTGGAGCTTGTTAACCACGGGAATCACCGACGAGCCCAGCGGCGGAGCCGCAGCCGGCGACGGGGATGCTGGCTCTTCCGCCATTTGATCTAGGGATTCAGCAACGTGAGATTAAGAGCGCGAAGAGAAATGGGGGAAAGTAGGGTTTTGAAGGTTTCTCAATCAAATAATCTCTCCCCTGTCGATTGGAATGCGCGGTTAGTTTGTTCGCAGGAGTTGTTTCTATGGACTGGTTTTGCTCTCTGGACTTCTTTACTTTCTGGTTTGTAGCTCACGTTTTGCTGACATCATGTAAAACATTACATCAGTAGTTGTCGGTTTAGTACCTATTTTTCTACTGCATTCATCTTCAGATCCCTATCATTTTGAAACGGTTCAGTAAGTCTACATTATAAAGGAAAAATGACTTCTCACTCTTCTTTTCCATCTCTAAAAAGCTCTCTTTCAAATCTCAGTAAATCTACTCCAGCTGCCGTCCTCGGAGCCTTCAGTACCCAACCCAGGGGTTTTAGTTTCCAACGTAGTGATGGCAGGATAGGGTGGAAGGCATTGAATGGCGATGATATTCCCACCACCAGTTCGCCTGATGATATCAAGGAAAAGCAACGACAGGCTAGCGTCCAGAGGAGGGATGATGATCTGCCGCCGAGACCACCTGATAAGAGCACAATGTCAAAAGGCCAACTGAGAGAAGTTATTGGGGCTGGGGTAGTTGAGAGATCTGTCATGGGAACTGATACAAAAAGAACTCAGCAAGATACCCAAATCAGGGTAGATTTGTTCATTAATGCTTACATATGGGGTCTCCAGGAGGAAGCAGAGGAAGCTAGTGCATCAATGATGAACGCCTACGAGATCCCTTTCGTTAAGCCCAGATCGCCGACGCAGAGATACAGGGGAAGTAGTTATTGCTCTGTCGGGATCTTTACTCCCCGCCCCCTGCAACTTAACCCCAAACCAGTGGTGACAAACAGAACCATAGTTAATGTGAAGAGATACAACATACTGTTTCGGGAATCGACAGGGAAACGAAGTAATTACCTGATGGAGGAGGGCATTAAAGAGCCCAGTCAGAACCCAGATGGGAATCGCAATGATGTTGAGGAGGCCAGAGACTACAAGGCCAGGGGAAGGTTCTGCTATTTAAAGGGAAACCATCAGAAACTTTTGGGATACAAGCGATCCCCCGTTGCAAGCCAATCCTCTGCTCAACCGATCCTTAATCAAAAGCCAACAGATCCACCCTTATTTCTCTTTCCCAGACCATCTTTGAAAATGGAACTATCCCTGGAAAAGCTGAGAGGAGAGAAAAGCCATTTGGTTCTCAATGTTAAACCCAAAGTCGTTGGAGGACGAGGAAGCGGCATGGCGATGCTGATCGGAAAATGGATCACAGATGCCAATATTGGGCTGCACAAAGCCAAAAATGCTGCCCTGAGCAAGTGGAGGGCCTACGGAGAAGTCCAGGCCACAAAAGAGGAAGACAACATCTACGTCTACTCTTTCCCGACGGAGAAAGGAAGGGATGCAGTGTGGGAAGAAAGACCATGGACTCTCGGCAACACCCTGGTGGCCCTGAGAAAGTGGGACGGAGAAGAGAAAGCTGCGGCTGAGGAAATCAAGACAGTCACACTCTGGGTGCAGCTACACGACCTGCCCCAATCCCTGAAAGAAGAGGAGTCCATCCAAGCTGTGGCGGAGTTCATCTTCCCCCATTTTCACTGTGTGGATCGATCCAACATAGAGCATAGAGGGTGGCTCAAGTTCATCAGAGCCCTCGTGGAAGTCCAAATCGATGAACCCGTCCCCATTGGCTTCGAGTACCCTATTGGAGAGAGATCAGTGTGGGTCAGCTTCAAATATGAGAGGATCTGTGATCTATGCTATTTTTGTGGTAAACTCGGCCATTTGATCCAGAACTGTCTGGCGAGAGAAGATTGCAGGAGGAGGGGATTGAGTACTGACCCGTCGGAAGTTTACACGGCGGCGTTGAAAGCAGGGCACGACTCGCCGGCCAACACTCCACCGGCCTCTTTCCGTCGGAAGATGGAGAACACAAGAAACCAGCACTCATCGGGCCCGACACCACTTCAACTCCGCGGGACCCAGGGCGGTCTTCTCAAAATGGGCACTGCAGGTCACAGAGAGCAAGGATCGTCATCCTGCCCCCCAGGCTTTGAAAAAGTGGCGATGAGGGAGATCAGAACCCCAACGGTCACTGACTGGTTCCCTATGGGGATCAACTTCAACACTCCCCTAGGCTGTCAACCTAGAAGGCTGGAGGAAGAGATGGACGAGGCGGCGCTCGCAATGCAGAACTCTCTTGACCTAAATGTTGGAGAAAGCGGCAGGGGCAAGGCCACGGGCCTAGTGGAGATGGGCCACACCCTCTCCCTCGGCGGGCCAGCATATTTCCAACCGGGCTTTAACATGGCCCATTTGGGCCAAGCTGATACAACCGTGCAAAAGAGCCCAGCAGCCCAAGACCTGTACCAGGTGCAGGAAACTGATGCTCTGGGCATGGGGGAAGGCATCAGGCCGAGGCCTGAGAAGAAAAGAAAATCCGCCAGCAGCCCAAAGCCGATCAACATATCTCCCTCCCAAAGCTCTTCGACTAACTTCTCTGCTGAGGCTTTGTCTTTTAATCCAGGAGGAAGCGGGAAAAACAAACAGAGGAAGAAGCATGTTGTTCGACGCAGAAGCATTGCTGAAATCACAGCTGGGGAATACCAGTCCAGGGAAGGCGAATCGGCATCTCCGAGGGCGACGGTGGCAAGCCTCAAGCCACCTAACCAAGAATGAGAATCATGAGCTGGAATTGTAGGGGGTACGGCCAGCCCCTTACACGATCCTATTGTGGCAAGTTCTGCCGAAAGTATGGCCCTTCGGTGTTATTCCTCATGGAGACCAAGAAGGATGACAACTTCATGGAAGAAAAGAGGAAGGCTCTGAAGTTTGATCACTCAGATTATGTTAGCCCTGCAGTAGAAGGTAGCGGCTTAGCACTCTGGTGGAAGGATGATGTTGTTGTTTCCATTATCGAGTCTTGTAAGTCCTTCATGGACATAAGTATTAGTAGGGGTAGTGTCTTTTTTTACTGTACCTTTATCCATGATCCTACCACAGCGGTAGAGAGAAGGGTTCTGTGGGAACGGCTTACCAACCTGAGGGCTAATCAGGATGAAAGCTGGCTGCTGGTGGGAGACCTGAATGTTGCACTCCACCCTTTTGAAAAACAAGGGCGATGCCCTCTAAGGAATGAGAATGTCGCCCCGTTCAAGTATTTCATCGCCCGCAATGCTCTTCTCGATCTTGGATATAATGGTCAGATTTTCACTTGGACAAACAAACAACAAGGGGATAACTTGATCAGAGAAAGGTTAGACAGAGCTATCTGCTCTGCGCAATGGCGAACAGATTTTGAGTCGGCAGTGGTTTATCATGAAGAGTTTGTGGAATCCGATCACTGTCCTATCAGAGTCGATATTCATCCTAAGGGTAACAGGAGGAGAACCCCGTTTCGTTTTGACAAAAGATGGAGGGAGAACGAGGATTGCAACCTCATTATTAATGATCTTTGGAACAGTGGATTACCTGTTGGCACTTTCCTCAAAAGGTGTGAGGTAGAGCTCCAAGTGTGGTCTCACACCGACAGGCAGAATAAGCTAGGGAGGGAAAATGAGATTAAAAGGAGACTTCAAGAGATTCAGGGGCCAAATAGAACAAACACGGAAGTTGAGGAAGAGCAAAGCCTTAATAATGAGCTGAGCGTGATGTGGACTTTGGAGGAGGAATTTTGGGCCCAAAGGTCCAGAAACAGCTGGCTCCAGGAAGGAGACCAGAATACGGGATTCTTTCATGCCAGCACCATTAGAAGAAAGAATAGCAATAAGATCCTGAGATTAAAGGACTCGAATGGATTGTGGATGGAGAATGAGCAGATTCTTTGTGAGCACTCGGTTGGCTTTTATCAGGATTTATTCACAAGTAAGGCTGGGGTGTTTGACCATTCCATTCTGGATGGCTTCCCGGCCCTGGTGACCCCTTGGATGAACGATGATCTCACGAAACCGATTGACAAGGTGGAGATCAGGAAGGCTGTTTTTGACCTTGGGGCAAACAAGGCTCCAGGTCCGGATGGCTTTCCTGGGATTTTCTTCAGAAGGTACTGGGGCTTGATTGGAGATCGCTTCTGTGATGAAGTCATTGAGTTTTTCAGAACAGGGCTGATGCCGGAAGGGTGGAACAATACCTTTATCACGCTTATTCCGAAGGTCGATGTTCCTGAAGTCATTGGTCAGTTTAGACCAATTAGTTGCTGCAACTTTCGGTATAAGGTGATCACTAAGATCATGACGACCAGACTTCAAGCGTGGCTCCCTGAACTAATCAATGAATTACAAACAGCCTTCACCGGAGGAAGGCAGATTCAGGACAACATCATCATCGTCCATGAAGTGCTTAACCATTTCAAGAAACACAAGTCAGGAAACAGGAATCACATGATGATGAAGTTGGATATGAGGAAGGCTTATGACTTGGTGGAATGGGATTATCTCATCGAGCTTCTTCGTGCATATGGTTTTGGAGATAAGTGGTGTGGATGGGTGCATGCTTGCATTAGCACTGTCAACTTCAACTTGTTATTCAATGGGGAGCCGACTTCAGGATTCAGTCCAACCCGTGGAATCAGACAGGGAGATCCTCTTTCCCCCCTCCTCTTCATCCTTTTGTCTAATGCGCTTTCTTTCCTCATTGAAAAATCTGCTGCTAACCACGATATTAAAGGCCTCAAGCTCAATCGGAACTGCCCTCTGCTCACTCATTGTCTCTTTGCTGATGATACAGTTATCTTCGGTGAAGCTTCAGTGGGAGAGGCGGAAAAAATCCTGGACATTATCAACAATTACGGGGCAATTACAGGACAAGAAGTCAATAGGGAGAAATCCTCCGTTTTCTTCAGCCACAATGTTATTTTGGAGGACCAGGCTACTCTCATCTCTACTATTGGATTTGCAGCCAGCAACTGCCATTCCAAATACCTCGGAGTGCCTACTGAGTGGGGTAGATCGAAGAAAGATACGTTCCAATTCCTGATTCAACGCATGGAGAAGAAAGGAGAAGGGTGGAAAAGCTTGCTCCTTTCTCCAGGCGGCAAGGAAATCCTTCTAAAGGCGGTGTTCCAGGCTATCCCAACGTTCATCATGTGTCTGTTCCTACTCCCCCGAGGCACAACCAGGAAGATGGATGGCATGTTAAAACGTTTCTTCTGGGCCGGTT